TCAAAAAGGTTTTCCCCCCGACTTTATTCTGAATTACGAAGATTCTGACAGTACCTAACCATGCCATATACACGCATGCACACACACACACACCCCACTTGCCTCACTAGGAACAGAACCTCTGAAGATGTCATTTGCCACAGATACAGATGAAATGACAGTAGAGAATGCTACTGGAACAGGTCCATACAGTCTGAAAAGCGCATCGCATACCAGTGGTTCCAGCCATGAAAGCTTTCGACAACACGTGTTTTCTGAGTTAGTGGCAGAAGTGTTAGGTGCCACCATGGGAAAGCTGTATCCTTCTCTCCAGTCATTTAGTGGCAGTGGAGAGCAGAGGGCAGCTGAGACTGTAGTTAGATCAGGCATGGGCAAACTTTGATGGGCTGCTGGGAATTAGAATAATAGAATCATGGAGTTGGAAGAGACCTTGTGGGAAGTCCAAAACACCTGGAGGGCTGAAGTCCAAAACACCTGGAGGGCCAAAGTTGGCCCAGTCCTGAGTCAGATGCATGATAATGTCATCTTCCAGGACCTTCAGAATAACTCCAGGATCTCTCAGAGCATGCCTTCATTTTTCAATGGCTATAATCACACCACTAAACTAGAACTTGCCATGTGATAGAATAAATGTGTGTCAGGAGTGAGCTGAGAAACTGCAGGTTGCTTCTGGTGTGAGGGAATTGGCCATCTCGCAAGTATGTTGCCCAGGGGATGCCCGGATATTTTACCATCCTGTGGAGGCTTATCTAATGTAAAGCTGGAGCTGACAGACAGGAGCTCGCCCCGCTCCCCAGATTCGAAGCACCGACCTTTCGGTCAGCAGTCCTGTCGGCACAAGGGTTTAACCCACCTAATAAATAATCCCACCTAATAAGATCAGGTGACATTTTTGTTATTACACCATGAAAGTGAAGCACTCCCAACATCTGCAACAATTAAAGAATGATATATGCAGGAGTAAGTTGGATTTACACTTATAGGTAAAGGTTTCCCCCTGACCTTAAGTTCAGTTGTGTCCGACTCTGGTGCTCATCTCCGTTTCTAAGCCCAAGAGCTGGTGTTGTCCGTAGACACCTCCAAAGTCATGTGGCCAGCATGACTGCACGGAACACAGTTTCCTTCCCACTGCAGTGGTACCTATTGACCTCACATTTGCATGTTTTTGAACTCTTAGGTTGGCAGGAGCTGGGGCTAACAGCGGGAGCTCACCCCACTCCCTGAATTCAAACCTATGACTTTTCTGTCAACAAGTTCAGCAGCTCAGCGATTCAACCCACTGCATTGGCCCTTATGGTCTCTTCCAGATCTTTAAGGATGCCACAATTTTGTAAAGGGATGAACAACATCAGGAGGTATAGGACTACTTCTCTGGCACTTTCTGGGGATCCCACGGGCCACCAAAGAAGCTCAAAACAACCTCCAAGCAAATGAAAAAGTAGAAAAGGCCAGAAATCAGCTTCTCGTTTTGAAAAATTGGCATCTGGTTTGGTTGAAGGGTAAACTTTCACTGTTGGGGACTTCTGGGATTTTGCTTTTTGAAGTAGGGGGCAAAAAAAGTGGAGTCTGGGGGGATCAAGGCTGGGAAAAAGACACTTGGGTGTCACCCGATTAGCAGGGGTATTTTCCCTGATTTTTGCTCGAGCATGGATCTCAGAAAGGGAACACTCTTTCTCTGGAAGGAGTATCATAGCCGCCTTGCCCTGGTCTTGTTGGTGCTAACAATGTCCCGTAGCAATGGGAATGAAGGACTGAAATGGAAGAGAGTGAGGCTGAAGTCCTTGCTAAGCCATGAAACTTGCCAGTCTTTTTCTGTTTTTAATCTGTATGTGTCCTCAGTCTGTACTTGTTTTAACTTTGTACGCTGCCTTGAGTCCCAGTTGCGGGGAAAAGGTGGGATATACATAAATAAAATAATAACAAATCAATAATAATAGGTTCAGCGTGTTTATTAATGACTTAGATGAAGGATGAGAAGGCAGGATCATCAAGTTTGTAGACGACACCAACATTGGAAAGGAGAGCCAAGACTCCAGAAAACAGGAGCAGAATTCAAAATGATCTTCACAGATTAAGAGAGATGATGGGCCAGAACTAACACAATGAAGTTCAACAGGGACAAATGCAAGATACTTCACTTAGGCAGAAAAAAATGAAATGCAGAGAGACAGAATGGGGGACAGCAGAACATGTGGAAAAGATCTTGGGGTCCTCGTGGATAACAAGTTAAACATGAGCCAACAATGTGATGCTGCGACAAAAGAAGCCAATGGGATTTTGGCCGGCATCGATAGGAGCCTAGTGTCTAGATCTAGGGAAGTCATGCTCCCCATGCTCTATTCTGCCTTGGTTAGACCACACCTGGAATATTGTGTCCAATTCTGGGCACCACAATGGAAGAGAGATATTGACAAGCTGGAATGTGTTCAGACCAAACAGTTGCATTGCATTTTTTAACAAACAAATAAACAAAACACAAAGTTTGCAAGCTTGGTAGTTGATTAAATGTCCTTTGACCAGTATCTGGCCACTTGGAGTGCCTCTGGTGTTGCCGCAAGAAGGTCCTCCATTGTGCATGTGGCAGGGCTCAGGTTGCATCGCAGCAGGTGGTCAATGGTTTGCTCTTCTCCACACTCGCATGTCGTGGATTCCACTTTGTGGCCCCATTTCTTGAGGTTGGCTCTGCATCTCGAGGTGCCAGAGCGCAGTCTGTTCAGCACCTTCCAAGTCGCCCAGTCTTCTGTGTGCCCAGGGGGAGTCTCTCATTTAGTATCAGCCATTGGTTGAGGTGCTGGGTTTGAGCCTGCCACTTTTGGACTCTCGCTTGCTGAGGTGTTCCAGCGAGTGTCTCTGTAGATCTTAGTAAACTATTTCTTGATTGACGTGCTGGCTGATACCCCAACAAGGGATGAGCTGGAGATGTCTCTGCCTTGGTCCTTTCACTATTGGCTGCTACTTCCCGGCGGATGTCAGGTGGTGCAATACCGGCTAAGCAGTGTAATTTCTCCAGTGGTGTAGGGCGCAGACACCCCGTGATAATACGGCATGTCTCATTAAGAGCCACATCCACTGTTTTAGTGTGGTGAGATGTGTTCCACAAGCAAAAATTGGTAATATGATGGCATGACAATCTTGGGAGTCAGCTGCATTAAAATCACTACTGACCGAAAGGTCATGAGTTCGAAACCAGCCCGGGTTGGAGTAAGCTCCTGACCATTTGTCTAGCTTGCTGTCGACCTTTGCAGCCCGAAAGACAGTTGCATCTGTCAAGTAGGAAATGTAGGTACCGCTTATGCGGGGAAGTTAATTTAACTAATTTATGACGCCATAAAACCCTCCAGCAGTGTGCAAAAGAGAGAAAAAAGTACTCCATCGGTGTCACAAGTGGACGGTGAAGCGACAGCTCCCCCAGTGGTCAGAATTCAAAGCATACCCTCATGAAGCTGGAATGTTAAGTAACCTCTGTGTGTCTGTCTATATATGTTGTGTGCCTATGGCACTGAATGTTTGCCATGTATATGTGCATTGTGATCCACCCTGAGTCCCCTGTGGGGTGAGAAGGGTGGGATATAAATACTGCAAATCTATGTATATAATAAAAGTCAGTGTTTGTATGTGGAAAGTGGAAGTGCAGCAGATGGAGGGAGGAAGTAGGGTGGAGGTGTATGTGGCAGCTTTCTTATTGGCTGCCACTGTGGTACAATTTGCATATGGTCTCTGATTGGCCAGCCTCAAAGCTCCAAGATTCTGAGGTGACAGAGAGAACAGGAAAAGGCCTGAGGCTGTGTCAGAAAATTACCAATACAGACTAAACTTGGCACACAGAGCCCGCAAGACCAACTCTACATCCTACTGCAGTTTGGAGGATGATGGACCATGGATAATGGTACTTGCAGTACCATCATTCACTTTCTGAGACCGCTGTGACCCTCATCCAATGACTGATCAAGACCAAACTTGGCACACAGAGCCCCCATGACCCACTATGACCCACTCTACATCCTGGTGCTGTTTGGAGGAAGATGGACCATGGATGATGGGACTTGCAGTACCTTCACTCACTTCCTGAAACCACAGCAACACTCATCCAAATACCAATAAAGACCAAACTTGGCACAGAGAGCCCCCATGGCCAACTCAACATTCTGGTGAGGTTTGGGGGAGAACAGACTATGGATGATGGGACTTACAGTACCTTAACTCACTTTCTGAGACCACTGTGACCCTCATTCAATGACTGAGCAAGACCAAACTTGACACACAGAGCCCCCATGACCCACTCTCCATCCTGATGCAGTTTGGAGGATGATGGACCACAGATGATGGGACTCACAGTACCTTCACTAACTTCCTTTGAGCCATATAAATAACTGATAAGGACCAACCTTGATACACAATTTCTTTCTCAGTCCCCAAGCTAGTAAATAAATAAATAAATAAATAAGGAATACACACCTCCAGGAGTTGAAAGATCAGGATGATGGGCAGCAGTAACACAGTGGGTTAAACTGCCAGCTGCAGAAAATCTTGCCAACTGGAAGGTTGGCAGTTCTAAGAGGTGGGTCGGGGTGAGCTCCCGCCCTTGCTCTAGCTTCTGCCTACCTAGCAGTTTGGAAACAATAATGTGAGAAGATCAATAGGTACTGCTTTGGCAGGTAGGTAAAAGGTGCCCATGCAGACATGCCAGCAATTCGATCAGGAAGGCCTCCAGGACAATAGGCTCCTTGTCATGGAAAATGGGACAACAACACCTCCCCAGAGGTGGAAGTTGAGCACAGCCACCAGATGCCGGAGAAGAAAAGAGAGAAGCCTTTGTCTCCGTCTGTGTACTGTCTGTCTATCTTATTTATTGTATAATGGCATTGAATGTTTGCCATATATGTATTCTGTAATCTGCTCTGAGTCCCGTCAGAGAAATACACTGGAATGTAAATAAAGTGTATTAAGTATATTATGAATGCATGATTTATGAGAACAAACGGAGAGTAGGTCTTTTGTACTGGAAGATGCAATACTTTAATAATAAATAACACAACTGTAAGTGCTGCATAGCGTACAAAAGGCGTTGGTTTGAGACACACATTCACCACCAGCGGAAGCTGTTGCAATATCAATTGTTGCCTTAATATCCAAAAATTGTGATTCGTACTCTTCAAGATTCTGTACAGCCCAGGGCTGGAAAAAAATAGTCTTTGAAAGCACCAACCCCCAGAGTCGGACACGACTGGACTTAATGTCAGGGGAAAACCTTTACCTTTACCTAGATCACATTCTGCAGGCCAAATTCGGCCCATCATGTCATTTGATGTGGCCCTTCAGATCCTGGGCTATATTTCCTGTATTCCTTATCATTGGATATCATGACTAGACCTGATGGAAAATAGAAGACTGCTGTTTGGTCTGTTGAGTCAGGAGAGTGTGGTCTGAATTTAGATACTACACTTATGGATGTGATGTTGGACTTCAAAATGTCCTTCAACCATTCCCCAACCTCAGATCCACAAGTGCTGTTGGATTGCACTTCCTACCATTCCCAGCCTGCATGGCGGAGAATTAAAAGCGATGGGAGCTATCAATCAACAAGATCTGGGTAACCAAATTGGGTAAGAACTTAAAAGCAGTGACCTCTATGTAAAAATATTATAGTTGGCCCTCTGTTTCCATGGATTCTCCTTCAATGGAGTCAGTGGCCCTTTGAAGGCAACCACGATGCAGATGTAGCCTCACTAGAAATGGGTTTCGTTTCAATAAGTCGCAGCAGGATCAAGTGTGTGTGTTAAAGAAAAACCTTATGATGTTAATTATTACGTGCAGCTGGTAATGTAGGTCACCCAGCATGTTTTGGGCTACACCCGGTGGGGTATAACTGTATGGTTTTTAGAATACAGTTTGGAGAGCGTTGGGAGCAGTTTGGAGAAGTAATACGCTGCTCTGAAGGAGGGCTATGGTGGAATAGCTATTTACTCAAGGTTTATGTTTTGCAGAGCAGTGACCACTATGTAAAAATATTATAGTTGGCCCTCTTGTATCCACGGATTCTCCGTCAATGGAGTCAGTGGCCCTTTGAAGGCAACCACGATGCAGATGTGGCCTCACTAGAAATGGGTTTTGTTACAGTAAGTTGCAGCAGGATCAAGTGTGTGTGTTAAAGAAAAGACTTACAATGTTAATTATTACGTGCAGCTGGTAATGTAGGTCAGCCAGCATGTTTGGGCCACACCTGGTGGGGTATAACTGTATGGTTTTTAGAATACAGTTTGGAGAGCTTTGGGAGCAGTTTGGAGAAGTAATACATTGCTCTGAAGGAGGCTATGGTGGAATAGCTATTTTCTCAAGGTTTATGTTTTGCTCTCTCATTTGATTGAAGATGAAGAAGCCTTATTTTGTGTTACTTACAAGGACGATTGTTGTACAGTTTATTTTGTATGCAACACTGCCAGTTTATGTTTTGCCTCTGCTAATAAGAGTTTTTCTGTTCATTTTTTCCTCTTGCCTGTGTGTCTTTTGAATGTGACGTTGGCTAAAATTCACTGCTGTGCAACAGGTTTGACACCCCTGGTGCAGATACTCCAATGGAAAGGTTAGACTTCACTTTGACTGCAGGTCTTGCCACACTCCAGGCATCTATAGGGCTTCTCCCCAACATGGACTCTCTGGTGTCTCGTGAGGTCCCCGTTTGCCTGGAAGCTCTTTCCGCACTCTGAGCATCTGTACGGCTTTTCTCCAGTGTGGATCCTTTGGTGCTTTGTTAAGCTCGTGGCGCTAGAGTAGTTCTTCCCGCACTCCAAGCATTTGTAGGGTTGCTCCCCCGTGTGGAGCCTCTGGTGGTTCTTGAGGCTCTCCTTGTGGCGGAAACTCATGCCGCAGTCCAAGCAGGAGTAGGGCTTCTCTCCGGTGTGGATCCTCTGATGCCTGCTGAGGTCCCCCTTCTTATTGAAGCGCTTCCCGCACTCGAAGCACTTGAAGGGTTTCTCTCCCGTGTGGATCCTCAGGTGGCAAGTGAGGTTGATGCTCTGGCTGAAGTCCTTCCCACACAGAGGACACTTGAAAGGCTTCTCCCCGGTGTGGGTTCGCTTGTGGGTCTTCAGGCTGGAGTTGCAGCTGAAGCTCTTTCCACACTCCAAGCACTGGAAGAGCTTCTCCCCGGTGTGGATCCTCCAGTGGAGATTCAGCGTGGATTTGGAGCTGAAGCCCTTTGCGCACAGCGGGCACTTGTACCTTTTCTTTCCTTTGTCCATTCGGTCATGGATTGAGATCTCCTGGTAGCCGCCCTCCGGACAAAGCACAGGTTTCTTCCTTCGCTTCTGCTTTACTTCCGTTTTCCTCTTCCGCTCTTTGGTCCCTCTGCATCGGGCTCTTTCCAACACCATCCCGTGGATTTCTGACTCATTTTCCATCTCTTTTGTGGTCCTCAGGATTTCGGTGCCTGTGGAAATAAAAGAGTGTGTTAAGAGTGTGTTTGGTGTTAAGGGACCACCAAACGCACTGAAATCATAGAATCATAGAATCAAAGAGTTGGAAGAGACCTCCTGGGCCATCCAGTCCAACCCCATTCTGCCAGGAAGCAGGAATATTGCATTCAAATCACCCCTGACAGATGGCCATCCAGCCTCTGTTTAAAAGCTTCCAAAGAAGGAGCCTCCACCACACTCCAGGGCAGAGAGTTCCACTGCTGAACAGCTGTCGCAGTCAGGAAGTTCTTCCTCATGTTGAGATGGAATCTCCTTTCTTGTAGTTTGAAGCCATTGTTCCATTGCGTCCTAGTCTCCAGGGAAGCAGAAAACAAGCTTGCTCCCTCCTCCCTGTGGCTTCCTCTCACATATTTATACATGGCTATCATGTCTCCTCTCAGCCTTCTCTTCTTCAGGCTAAACATGCCCAGCTCCTTAAGCCGCTCCTCATAGGGCTTGTTCCAGACCCTTGATCATTTTAGTTGCCCTCCTCTGGAAACATTCCAGCTTGTCAATATCTCCCTGCAATTGTGGTGCCCAGAATTGGACTCAATATTCCAGGTGTGGTCTAACCAAGGAGAATAGAGGGGTAGCATTACTTCCTTAGATCTAGACACTATGCTCCTATTAATGCAGACCAAAATCCCATTGGCTTTTTTTGCCGCCACATCACATTGTTGGCTCATGTTTAACTTGTTGTCCACGAGGACTCCAAGATCTTTTTCACACGTACTGCTCTCAGCCAGGCATGACAAGGATTATAATACCCATTGTAGCCTATAATACACACAAGTGTGCCATGAAAACTCAACCAAGAGGGGAAAAATGGCAAGGCTTACCCAGAGAGACCACATTCCAGAAGTTCTCCTCCATGACTGCTCGATGGAGGGTCCTTTGGTCCGGATCCAACAGCACCAAATCCTCCTCATCAAAATACACAGCCACGTCCTCAAAGGTTAACAGACCCTGGAAGAAAGAGGGAATCATTGGGAAGTCAAGTCATGAATCTCTAGTCCAGGTCAGGCCTGGGCCAACTTGGGTCTTCCAGGTGTTTTGGACTTCAACTCCCACAATTCCTAACAGCCGGTAGGCTGTTAGGAATTGTGGGAGTTGAAGTCCAAAACACCTGGAAGGCCCAAGTTGGCCCAGGCCTAGTCTAGGTCCTTCAGAAAATCTTGCACCATCTGGAGGATATACAAGCACCTGGAGAATTTCTATGTCCTCCTCCACGACTTGGCGTTGCACTGGAGGACTTAGCAATTCCTAAAGAGAACATAATTAATCAAAACCACAAATAATCAAAGTGAAACTTGCTTTTTGTGAAGGACCAAGAGTTTACAGATTTGGGGATACCCATATCTTCATATACAGGCAATCCCCAAGTTATAAACAAGATTGATTCTGTAAGTTTGTTCCCACAGCGGTTTAAACCGCCAGCTGCAGAAAATCTTGCTGACCGTAAGGTTGGCAATTCAAAGCCATGGGTCGGGGTGAGCTCTCGCTGCCAGCCCTAGCTTCTGCCTGTATCCATCTCTGCAATGTAATGCTTCTTCAAGAGCTTTCCATTTTTGTGCATAGAGTAATCTTGCAACCATGATCATATATTGCGGATTTCTTCCATGTTTTTTCTTTCTTTCTCCATGTTGCCCATCTATCAACTACAGTAAATAAAGTTCTTGAGTGTGTCTTGTATGTGTTTGATGATTATTTATATTACTGTTTGGTAATTAGAATCACAGAATCACAGAGCTAGAAGATACCCCAAGGGCCAGCCAATCCAACCCCCTGCCAATCAGAAATACAATATCAGAGCACTCCTGACAGATAGCCATTCAACTTCTGCTTGAAAACCTCCAGAGAAGGAGACTCCACCAGACTCCAAGGCAGTATGTCCCATCGTCCCATTGCCAAACGAGCTAGCTGAGCCTGGGAGTTTTGGCAACAGTTACATGTTTAGGTTTTACGTGTGTAGGAGCTTACAGAGAGAGACCGTTCTAGCTTCATGAGGTGCTGGAAGAAGATCCCCCACATGGACACCTAAATACTTACATAGTTACTTACTGTATTTATATATCTCCTTTCTCACCCGTGGGGTGAGATACCATTTGAATCTCTCTCAAAAGACATTGTGTGAGTCAACGCAACTATTCTCATGATTGTATATATGTTGCTCTGCATTACAACAAGTAAAAATTTTGGTTTTTTACTGATAATTTGTGTGGCATATTTTCTTTCTCTGGCAAGAGTGTGTGGACTGGTAAAACGTGAACTATGTGTGATTTTTATCCTACCACAATAAATAGGTTCCTCTTTAAAGCGGGAGGTATTTAGGAAATGCCACAAAAATACCAGCAATTCGATCAAGGAGGAAGTTATGAACGAAGCTCTTCAGCAAGGAAGATGGAGCGACAGCACTCCCTTGTGGCTAGAAACAAGCACAAGCCTCCAATATGCCGAATATGAGAAAGCCTATATATACCTCTATCTACGTACAGGTGTCTGTCTTGTCAATGTATAATGGCATTAATGTTTGCCGTATGTGTGTTCTGTGATCTGCTCTGAGTCCCTTTCGGGGTGAGAAGGGCGGAATATAAGTACTATAAATAAGTAAATAAATAATGCCTGAAAACACAGATGTCAGGAGTCAATTTCTGACGGCATGAAGACATCACAAATTCCCTCCGTGACATCCTGACTGAATCATCCTGGCTGCCTCAGTGTTCTCTCTGTGACATTTTGAAGCCAGCAGAGGACGCTGGAAACCTTGTATTGGAACTTGTGAAGCAATAAGCTCTAATAAGGAAACTGAGAAGAGGGGGGAGGTGGGCAGGAAAGGTGTATAAAAGGAAGTGGTGGTGGGAAAAAGTCAGTAGTGTCTTAATGTAAGACTGTAGGTTTTATATAGCAATATTAAATGATCACTCACAAGCCGGATTTGCTTGGAAATGAATATATTGCTTGTATAATACTGAATAATGATAATACTGAAGACTAATACTTCGGATGAAGCATATTATACAGTCAGGCCTAGAAAATCCCTAGAGAGGATTTATTTGTTAGCGAAACCACAAGTCCTGGTCCCACAAATATAAGGATTTTCTCATATTACTGTATTTAATGTCATTGACCCCTTTCACTAGGACAACAATACACTCCCAATGGAAAGGAATGGGCCCAGAGAAATACCCAGAGACACGATCTTACCTGTTCTTCTGACCGATTCACTTCCCTACCTGATTGAGTTGCATGAAAGCCGTTTCAACTCCATCGTGAAGTGAATGGGCCACGGACGTCATCTCCCCACCTGTGAGCAAAGGGAAAGGGGCTTGATTCTCTCTATATGAAGTCAGCCCTTCACATTTGCAGGTTCTAGAAAGGTAAAGGTAAAGGTTTCCCCTTGACATTAGGTCTAGTTGAGTCTGACTCAGGGGGGTGATGTTCCCCTCCATTTCTAAGCCAAAGAGCCGGCGTTGTCCATAGACACCTCCAAGGTCATGTGGCCAGCATGGCTGCATGGAGCGCCGTTACATTCCCGATGGAGCGGTACCTATTGATCTACTCACATTTGCAAGTTTTTGAACTGCTAGCTTGGCAGAAGCTGGGGCTAACAGTGGGAGCTAACCCCGCTCCCTGGAGTTGAAGTATCAACCTTTCAGTCAGCAAGTTCAGCAACTCAGCAGTTTAACCCACTGCACCACGGGGGGGGGGGTGTCTACTTTTGTGTATTTGATTATCCATGAATTTGATCACAATGTTGTGGCAGGAAATTTCTACATGTGACTCTGTAATCAATTTCTATGACAGAAATTGGCCACCTAGGATTTTATTCATCTGTGTGGAAGGGGCCTTTGGCTTTTATAGAGAGAGATGTCTGAAGAGTTCGTTGGAACATGAAAAAAATCAGTTGGTGAGTGTGTTAACTGAAAAATGCAAAGCACCAAGCTGATTGGTTGGGCAACGCCCGAGAGGCTAGTTGAGTCTGGGAGTCTTGGCAACAGTTACATGTTTAGGTTTTCTGTGCAGGAGCTTGCCAAGACAAGTTAGAATATTTTGTGACTAGTTAGGTCATGCCTGAGAGGCTAGCTGAGCCTGGGAGTTTTGGCAACGGTTACATGTTTAGCTTTTCTGTGCAGGAGCTTGCCAAGACAAGTTAGAATATTTTCTGCTTCTGGGCTGCTGGAAGAAGATCTTTCACATGCACACTCAAGGACCATTTGAATCTCTCTCAGTGGACATTGTGTGAGTCAATGCAACTGTTCACATGACCATATATATGTTGCTCTGCATAACAAAGAGTAAACAACTTATTCTTTACTGTTAACTGAAAAATGCAAAGCACCAAGCTGATTGGTTGGGTCATGCCTGAGAGGTTAGCTGAGCCTGGGAGTTTTGTCAACAGTTACATGTTTAGCTTTTCTGTGCAGGAGCTTGCCAAGACAAGTTAGAATATTTTCTGATTGGTTGGGCCACGCCTGAGAGGCTGAACATCTGTGTGGCATATCTTTTCTCGAGCAAAACAATGTGTAGATTGGTAAAGACTTGAACTACATGTGATTTTCATTCCACAACAAAGTTGTATCAAATTTTTATATATAATTCTTCAGTCTAGATATGTCCTCATGTGACAAATCTGTCCTCACAGCAAGTAATAACAATTGGGGGAAGAATGAATAGAAATTTGGGGTGTGGTGAATGGAAGTTTGTGTTCGATTCTCTTCTTTTCCTGCCGGACGCTCTGAGTTCACTTCTTGTCGTCATTCTTCCTGAAGGGAAATGCACTATTTATTTATGGAGACTTTGAGCAACAGAGTGGCAGCAGCAGAAGAGGCTTTTAAGGAGCTGTTTTCTGTACTCTTCATACATTATTGTCAATTGTTTTTAATTTAGTTGTCCAACCAGAATGAAGACTAATTTTCTATGCTTCTAAGGGTCATGGAAAATGAGGAAAAATAGATACTTTGGACTTTTTAAACCAGAGGAAACCATGCCGAGCTAACATAGGCAAACTTTGGCCCTCAACTCCCAACTTCAACTCCCACAATTCCTAACAGCCCACCAAAACACCTGGAGGGAGGGCCGAAGTTGGCCTGTGCCTGGAGTAGAGGAACATAAATGCAGCCCACTTAATTTAAGTCTGTTCCAAAGCTCGATTGGAATAGATCCTATGAATCCTTACCTAGTGAGGCGAACCTTTCCATATCCTGCTTCAGGCTCCAGCAGGGTGACAGCCGACAGTTGATGTCAAATGGGGAACGCAGGAACTTGATCTCGGGAAACTCATTGGGCACCCCTCCAAACAGCATCTGCCCCAAAAGGAACATGTATAAACACCGTGGGATTGGAAAAGGAACAGGACAAATATGCCTCCTTGAATGAAAAAGATGTGATCCTGAGTGAAGCACATTTTGGACTGGCTACTTAGGAAATTAAATAGAATTAGAAGACTGTTCTGTCATGCACTGGGCCTGTAACAATTGTCTTTTGAATAGGACGTGCACTCTGTGCCCAGCGGGAAGCCAGGGCGCCTCGAAGAGAGGTTCTCAAGGATTTTCCAGTACAAATGGTCTTTAGATGGCTTGTAAAGTATAACAAAGTCCTTTATTATTGAACAATCAAACAGATACTTCTCAAGTCTTCAATAAGTCAAACAAATGATTCAAGGCTTTGAGGCAACTGGTGGCTTCCTTAATCTTGTCCACAAGGGACAGGCAACTGTCTTCATTAACTGTTCCTTTACTTTTGGAGGAAAATCTTTTTTTAACCTCTCCCAGGCTGATTATAATCTAAGCCTCACTGATGTGGGATCTACTACCAGATTCAAACTGTGTCTTGAGCACCAAGTAGACCTACCAATAAAGGTTAGTAGATTCTCCAGCTGGAGTTCTTTGGTCTGTAAAGCTGTTTCCCTACGGTATTTCTTGGAGACTTCAGGGCTGTTTCCCTCAGATGCTGTAAGGCTGAGAGGCTGTGGGCTCTCTGCCAGAGCTTTGGGGCTGTTTCACCTGGAATGTCTCTGGAATTCCCTGGAATTCTGTTTCCCTGGAAATCTTTTTCCCTGGTATTCTTAAGCGTTGAAGCTTTTGTGCAGGTGAAGCTTGTCCACATCCTCTAACTTAGCTTTCCTCACTAAGACTAACTAAAAATGGCTCCCTTCCCTTCCCATTGCCCTGAACAAGGGGCGGAACCAAAACTTAACGATGATAGACAGGTGGCTTGCCCTATGACTGCAAACCAAAGGAAGCCACCTTTTTGCAGAATCTCTGAAACCTTGGAATGCATGCAAACATTTAATAGAAAGAAAATGAAGTTGGAGCTCCTGGTACAGATGTACCAGCACACTCCGGGCCTAGATTTCTCAATGATGAGAAATCTACACTATAACATTAGCAAACTAATTTGGTAATGAACTGATTACCCATTCAACAACAACACAATATCACAAATTGGTCTGTGTAAAACAGAAACATTGCCATTTTGGCACACTCTTAGTTTCACCTTCCTTACCAATCCATCTGGACATGGCAAGGTCTCTATAACTTTGGCCAAAGGCCACTTGAAACGAGGTAAGGATTTGTCTCTGAGCAATACAATGTCTCCCACTTTGATGTTGGGTTTAGAGTCTTTCCACTTCCTGCAACTCTGAAGTTGAGCCAGATACTCTGCCTTCCAGCATCTCCAGAACTGATTGGCAAGAGTTTGAGTTTGTTTCCAGAGTGCTTTGTAAGATCCTTCCGGGACAGGATACATAATTTCCTGCCATTCAGAAGTCTTTTGAGTCAAAATGGATGCAGGAGTGAGAAGCTGTGGAATGTCTGAGTCTGTGGTGATGGGCACCAATGGGTGGCTGTCAGGACTCGGTTTCCTGACCTTGGAAGGTGGCGCAAAAAACCGGATTCCTGACATGGAGAACCGATAAGGAATTGCAGCTGGTGGCCTTGGGAAGGGCAGTTAGTGGTTTGGCGGGGAATATTGAGCGGGATCCTGGGTCGGCGGGAAGAGGGGATTCGAATGTGGGGAGGGTATATAAAGGGCTGACGTGCGTCTGTATGCCAATCCTGGCTTTCATTGTGTATATGTATCCAGCAGTAAAAGGTTCCTGATTGATTACGGACTGGTCTCTTGTGTCTTTTCGGGGAACGGCTGTTGTGAGCTTACAGGCGGCTGTTTAAAATAACTGTCACTTTCGCCATCAAAGTGACCAAAACATCATGAATCAAATTCTTACACTTTAAAAACATAGCATTTAAAATCTTTCCACACAAACCAATCATATGTTCCCACACACACACACACACCCCAATGTGAGACGCATGCAGTACATTAAATAGCCATGTAACCTTTTCTGTATTCAAATAATTGTCGACACTGGGGTCCTTGGCAAACTTAACAATACAGTCTAATTCTTTGTCCCTTGTGGACAATATTAAGGAAGCCACCAGTTGCCTCAAAGCCTGGAAGCATTTGTTTGACTTTATTGAAGACTTGAGAAGTATATGTTTGATCTGTTCAATAATAAAGGACTTTGTTATACTTTACAAGCCATCTGAAGACCATTTGTACTGGAAAATCTTTGAGGGCTTCTCTCAAGGCACCCTGGCTTCCTGCGAGGCACAAGGTGCACGTCCTATTTCAAAAGACAATTATTACAGGCCCAGCACGTGACAGAACAAAGACCATCCATCCAATTCTAAGGTTTTTACCCTTGGAACTCATACTTCATGCCCAGATCACCCTGGACAATGTTGAGGAGACCCAAGTGCCTTCAAACCGGTCCTTTGGCATCAAAAGGAAGACTCTGTGCCTTCAACATAGGCCATTGGACTGGGGGTTGTGTTTGTTCTGACCTTCACAGCCACTGAGAAAAGAGGGAACAGGAAAAGCTTCTCAGCTGCAAAATCTCCTTGGACCCAGGGCTTCAGAGACTGTAATGTATATTTCCTTTACCCCTTTGAAACTTCCAGCTTATTGCCTTAAACGGATAACTCTTTGTGGACAATAAAACCTATTTTGAGTTATCTACAGTGTTTTGGTCCTTGGGAGTTCCAGTTCTTTAAAGGAAGGCAAGAAGCAATCCCCTGGGGGAAAGATGTCACGTCTATGTGTCTTTCACTAAGAGTTATAGCCCCCAGGCGCGATGGCATAACCTTTGAATCTCTGTTGTTAGTATTCTATGTGTCTGTCTAGTGTCCCACGTTGGACGGGTAACAGTAGGAGATTCCGTATTATGTGACATTTTCATTTATCCAACATTCTGCCAGCTTGTTTATGTTGGATAAGCGAGACTCTACTATAGTTGGAATTATTTTCAGCAACTTTGAAATATTACGAAAAGCCCATTCTCACCTGCTGCTTTTTCTGCTTCTTCTCCTCCGTCTGGCTCAGGAGGAAGCCTTCAGCCAAGGCCACGGCCTGGGAACTGGTCTCCGGCCCACATTCCCTCACCCAGCACTCCATCTCCAGGGGAAGGATGGTCAGGAACTGCTCCAGGATCACCAGGTCCAGGATCTGCGTCTTGGTGTGTTGATCCGGTTTCAGCCACAGTCGGCAGAGAGTGTGGAGCTGGCTGCAAACCTCTCGGGGTCCCTTGGCATCATGATACCGGAAGTGCCGGAAGCGCCGACAGCAGGCATCGGAGCCCAGGCTGTCCTCGCTCTGGCTCTGCGGTGCCATCTTATCCCAGATTTCATCACCGATCTCAATCTTGATCACATCCAAGTCAGCTGTGTGCAAGCCTTCCATTTCTGACCCAGTCTCTAAGGCGACTTCAGACACCGCCTTTCTTGGATGGAGGCTTGGACTTGGACGGAGGCTTTGGGAGGACTCCCACCAAGCAAGCGGGGTATTGTGATGTGGGAACTATTGCACCCTTGAGAAAAAGAGATAGTATTTCACTCAGAGATAGTTCTGCCTGTAGGACGCAGAAGACAAGATGAAAAGAAGAGAAACTACAGATTGAGGGTATATTTACACCAGCAAAGTAATGCAGATTGATACCACTCCATTGCTGGTGGGGATTTGAACCTTGGTCTCTACACAATGTTTACAAACTATTTGAATGAATCAAACTCTTGATAGATGTAGGGAAGTCATGCTACCCCTCTGTTCTGCTTTGGTTAGACCACACCTGGAATATTGTGTCCAATTCTGGGCACCACAATTCAAGTGAGATATTGACAAGCTGGAATGTGTCCAGAGGAGAGCGACTAAAATGATCAAGGGTCTGGAGAACAAGCCCTATGAGGGGCGGCTTAGGGAACTGGGCATGTTTAGATGAAAGGAGACATGATGAGGGCCATGTATAAATATGTGAGAGGAAGTCAGGGAGGAGGGAGCAAGCTTGTTTTCTGCTGCCCTGGAGACTAGGACACACGGAACAATGGCTTCAAACTACAAGAGAGGAGATTCCATCTGAACATGAGGAAGAACTTCCTGACTGTGAGAGCCGTTCAGCAGTGGAACTCTCTGCCCCGGAGGGTGTGGAGGCTCCTTCTTTGGAAGCTTTTAAACAGAGGCTGGATGGCCATCTGTCAGGGGTGCTTTGAATATTCCTGCTTCTTGACAGGGACTGGATGGCCCATGAGGTCTCTTCCAACTATTTGATTCTATGATTCTATAGGACACTTAACCAAATTGAGGAAGATGTTTTAATTCAGGCATGGGCAAACTTGGGCCCGCCTTCCAGTGTTTTTGACTCCAACTCCCACAGTTCCTAACAGCCTCAGGCCCTTTGCGGCTGAGGGGGAAAAGGAAGGGGACTGAAGCTGTTAGGAATTGTGGGAGTTGGAGTCCAAAACACCTGGAGTGCAGGCCCAAGTTTGTCCATGCCTGATTTATGCTGTCCAACAGTTAGGTCAGATTTCCATCATTACCCGCTTCCAGCTAATGAAGGGTGGATCAGTCCAAAATATTAAAAAATTACTAGGTATTTTTGATTACAAAAGTGTGAGTCAAGCACTGAAAGGGTGAGTAGGCCGAAGCCTGCGAGAGTCAGTGGGCCAAAGATAAGAGTGTGAGGTAGACCTCAGTGTGAGAGAAGCTTTGTGTGAGAAAGCTCCAGTTTGAAGGCTGTTGTGAGTAAAGATACATATGTATTTGTTTCTTTGTGTTATGGAAACTTTTTTTTTTTGTAAATAGTGCAACCATATTATTTTACTTCAAAAAAACCTATGAAAGAGGGAGCAATGATCTGTGTGTTTTTGTTTTATTTTTTTAGTTAAAGTATTGCTTTAATACTTTAAAGTTCTTAGTGGGATGGGCATCCCAAGCCCCCTTCCCTCTCTCCTGAGGAATCTGTACAAGGACCAAGGAGCAACAGTCAGAACTGACCACGGAACAACAGACTGGTTCAAGATTGGGAAAGGCGTACGGCAAGGCTGCATCCTCTCACCCAACCTTTTTAACTTGTATGCAGAACACATCATGCTATGTGCGGGGCTTGATGAATGCAAAGCTGGGATGAAAATTGCTGGAAGAAACATTAACAACCTCAGATATGCAGATGACACCACTCTGATGGCCGAAAGCGAGGAGGAGGAGGAGCCTTCTAATCAAGGTGAAAGAAGAAAGCGCAAAAGCCGGGTTGCAGCTAAACATCAAAAAAACCAAGATTATGGCAACAAGAATGATTGACAACTGGGAAATAGAGGGAGAAAATGTGGAGGCCGTGACAGACTTTGTATTTCTAGGTGCAAAGATTACTGCAGATGCAGACTGTGGCCAGGAAATCAGAAGACGCTTACTTCTTGGGAGGAGAGCAATGTCCAGTCTCGATAAAATAGTAAAGAGTAGAGACATCACACTGGCAACAAAGATCCGCCTAGTCAAAGCCATGGTCTTCCCTGTAGTAACCTACGGATGTGAGAGCTGGACCTTAGGGAAGGCTGAGCGAAGGAAGATCGATGCTTTTGAGCTGTGGTGTTGGAGGAAAGGGCTGAGAGTGCCTTGGACTGCGAGAAGATCCAACCAGTCCATCCTCCAGGAAATAAAGCCCGACTGCTCACTGGAGGGAAAGATACTAGAGACAAAGTTGAAGTACTTTGGCCACATCATGAGGAGACAGGAAAGCCTAGAGAAGACAATTATGCTGGGGAAAGTGGAAGGCAAAAGGAAGAGGGGCCGACCAAGGGCAAGATGGATGGATGGCATCCTTGAAGTGACTGGACTGACTCTTGAAGGAGCTGGGGGTGGTGACGGCCGACAGGGAGCTCTGGCGTGGGCTGGTCCATGAGGTCACGAAGAGTAGGAGACGACTGAACGAATGAACAACAACAACATAGTTTACATACTGAAGTCTGAGGATGCCTGCCATAGATGTGGGCGAAACATCAGGAGAGAATGCTTCTGGAACCTGGCCAGACAGCTTGGAAAACTCACAGCAACCCAGTGATTCCAGCCATGAAAACTTCCTATTGACCCACTGCGTTGATGCCAAACAAGTTTGGGGATGTCTTGGGTTTTCCCCCGAATCCCGAATCCCATCTCCACCGCTTTGCACCTTTGAACCAAATCGAACTCCTCCGTATTTGGATGGGACTTCACCAAACTGCAGTGGGTTTCAAGAGCCTGCCATTTCCGAAATCTTGGAAGATGTGATCTAAATAGGCCAACGGCAGATAATATTCCCATCCTGGGAGAAAATGCAATGTGCCTTTCCACCCAAGTCCCCTGGATTTTGGAGAGTTAGATGAATAGGATGCTTAGACCCATTGAATCCACAGAGCCGTATCTCTGCGTAAAAGTGAATCCCACACTGAAAAATCCCAGTATGCAGGAAGTGCTTTGGGGTCTTGCAGAGCATCATATTCTCCAGGGCTCTGTTCTGTCTCTGTTCAGGGATTGCTTTCCTGCCCTTGCTTGTTCCCCCACCTTCTCCCCACTTTTGCACCATTCATCCGCACCAAAGACCCCTTCCCACTCACCTGATGGGGTTGCAATGGGGGGAAAGCTCCAGTCAATCCCAGCCTGGAGTGAGTGTGTCTGAAGGGAGGCGGGCAAGGGAAATGGGAAGGAAGGAGAGCCTCTAGGAAGCTGCAGCTCCCTGCCTTTAACCCTCGCTGGGCCAGGACAGGCAGGCAGGCAACACAAGGAAGAGAAGGAAGGATGCCCTGCCACAGGCTAGAATGTATCCACAGCAGAGAAGAAAGAGGAACAGGGAGATGCAGATCAAAGGGAAGTGATGGACAGCGCTCCTCCTGATCTTGCTCTCCACCCTTGGCCCTGGCTTCTGAGGATCTGAAATGCTTGGGGTTCAGGGTTTCCCTAGGCCATCCCCCCAGATTTGGGAATATTTGCATTTCTACTGTGAGCCCCCCCCCCCCCGTGGCACAGTGGGTTAAAGCGCTGAGCTGCTGAGCTTGCTGACCAAAAGGTTGCAGGTTCAAATCCAGGGAGCGACGTGAGCTTCCGCTGTCGGTCCCAGCTTCTGCCAACCTAGCAGTTCGAAAACATGCAAATGTAAGTAGAATCAATAGGTACCGCTCCGGCAGGAAGGTAACAGTGCTCCATGCAGTCATGCTGGCCACATGACCTTGGAGGTGTCTACAGACAACATCGCAGGTTCAAATCCAGGGAGCGGCGTGAGCTTCCGCTGTCGGCCCCAGCTTCTGCCAACCTAGCAGTTCGAAAACATGCAAATGTAAGTAGATCAATAGGTACCGCTCCGGCAGGAAGGTAACAGTGCTCCATGCAGTCATGCTGGCCACATGACCTTGGAGGTGTCTACAGGCAACATCGCAGGTTCGAATCCAGGGAGCGGCGTGAGCTTCCGCTGTCGGCCCCAGCTTCTGCCAACCTAGCAGTTCGAAAACATGCAAATGTGAGTAGATCAATAGGTACCGCTCCGGCGGGAAGGTAACGGTGCTCCATGCAGTCATGCCGGCCACATGACCTTGGAGGTTTCTACAGACCACGCCGGCTCTTTGGCTTAGAAATCACTGTTAGTTAGGCCCAGCTTCTGCCAACCTAGCAGTTCGAAAACATGCATATGTGAGTAGATCAATAGGTACCGCTTCGGCGGGAAGGTAACAGCGCTCCATGCAGTCATTCTGGCCACATGACCTTGGAGGTGTCTACAGGCAACATTGCAGGTTTGAATCCAGGGAGCGGCGTGAGCTTCCGCTGTCGGCCCCAGCTTCTGCCAACCTAGCAGTTCGAAAACATGCATATGTGAGTAGATCAATAGGTACCGCTTCGGCGGGAAGGTAACAGCGCTCCATGCAGTCATTCTGGCCACATGACCTTGGAGGTGTCTACAGGCAACATTGCAGGTTTGAATCCAGGGAGCGGCGTGAGCTTCCGCTGTCGGCCCCAGCTTCTGCCAACCTAGCAGTTCGAAAACATGCAAATATGAGTAGATCAATAGGTATCGCTCCAGCAGGAAGGTAACGGTGCTCAATGCAGTCATGCTGGCCACATGAACTTGGAGGTGTCTGCGGACAATGCCGGCTCTTCGGCTTAGAAATGGAGATGAGCACCACACCCCAGAGTCAGACGCGACTGGACTTAATGTCAGGGGAAAAACTTTACCTTTACTGTGAGATATCTTAGGATGGGACCTGAGGATCTGCACTGTCCCAGGATCTGATTCCAGGTTATCTTCTTATCCCAGATTATCTGACAGTGTAGACTCATATAATCTAGTTTAAACCAGATAATGTGAATTGTTTGCTTTGATAACCTGGATTATAGGAGCCTCTGGTGATGCAGTTGGTTATACCCCTGTGCTGGCAGGACTGAAGGCCAATTCTCTCACACCAGAAGCGACTTGCAGTTTCTCAAGTCAATCCTGACACGACAAAAACAAAAAAACCTAACAACAACAACCTGGATTATATGGCAGTGTAGAAGAGGCCTCAGGGTGGATCTACACTGTTATATAATCCAGATTATCAAAGCAGATAATCCACATTATCTGCTTTGAACTAGATTTTATGAGTCTACACTGTCATATAATCCAGTTCAAAGCAGATAATCTGGATTTTATATGGCAGTGTAGATCCAGACTTATATATTCCAGTTCAAAGCAGATAATCTGGATTATCTGATTTGTTAATCTGCATTATCTGATTGGACAATCTGAATTATGTGATTTGACAATCTGGATTATTTGATTTGATAATCTGGATTACCTGATTTGACAATCTGGATTAACTGATTTGGCAATCTGGACTATCTGATTTGATAATCCGGATTATCTGATTTGGCAATCTGGATTAACTGATTTGGCAATCTGGATTAACTGATTTGGCAATATGGATTATCTGATTTGACAATCTGGATTATTTGATATGACAATTTGGATTATCTGATTTCATAATCTGGATTAATTGATTTGACAATCTGGATTATCTGACTTCATTATCTGGATTCATTATCTTCATTATCTTATTTGATAATATGGATTATATGGCGGTGTACATCCAATCTGATGCTGGCTCAAGGTCCCTTCTACACTACTATATAATTAACCAGATTATTAAAGCAGATAATCCAGTTTTGATAGCCTTTGTTTCGATGGCTGTGTGGAAGAGGGGTTGTTGTGCCAATTTTCAGATTGGTAACCAAGGACCTGTTTGTATTTGTGTTGTGTTTACAGGATTCACAACTACCATGTTCTAGAGGCATTTTCTCCTGACGTTTCGCCTGCATCTATGGCAAGCATCCTCAGAGGTAGTGAGGTTTGTTGGATGTAGGAAAAAGGGTTTATGTATCTGTGGAATGAGCAGGGTGGGACAAAGGACTTTTGTTTGCTGGAGCTAGGTGGTCAGTTGAAACATTCACACCTAGCTCCAGCAGACAAGAGTCCTTTGTCCCACCCTGGTCATTCCACAGATATATAAACCCATTTTTCCTACTTCCAAACAGACCTCACTACCTCTGAGGATGCTTGCCATAGATGCAGGCGAAACGTCAGGAGAATGCTTGTGGATTTCAATGGCTTCTCTGAGTACTCTGACAGGATACTAAATGCAAAGCTATAGAATGGGGGAGACCTGGCTCCAGAGCAGTACGTGTGAAAAAGATCTTGGAGTCCTTGTGGACAACAAGTTAAACATGAGCCAACAATGTGATGTGGCGGCAAAAAAAGCCAATGGGATTTTGGCCTGCATCAATAGGAGCCTAGTGTCTAGATCTAGGGAAGTCATGCTCCCCATGCTCTAGTTCCGCTTTGGTTAGACCACACCTGGAATATTGTGTCCAATTCTGGGCACCACAATTCAAGAGAGATATTGACAAGCTGGAATGTGTCCAGATGAGAGCGACTAAAATGATCAAGGGTCTGGAGAACAAGCCCTATGAGGAGCGGCTTAAGGAGCTGGGCATGTTTAGCCTGAAGAAGAGAAGGCTGAGAGGGGATATGATAGCCATGTATAAATATGTGAGAGGAAGCCACAGGGAGGAGGGAGCAAGCTTGTTTTCTGCTTCCTGGAGACTAGGACACGGAACAATGGCTTCAAACTACAAGAAAGGAGATTCCATCTGAACATGGGGAAGAACTTCCTGACTGTGAGAGCTGTTCAGCAGTGGAACTCTCTGCCCCGGAGTGTGGTGGAGGCTCCTTCTTTGGAAGCTTTTAAACAGAGGCTGGATGGCCATCTGTCAGGGGTGATTTGAATGCAATATTCCTGCTTCTTGGCAGAATGGGGTTGGACTGGATGCCCCATGAGGTCTCTTCCAACTCTTTGATTCTATGATTCTATGATCTTCAAAGTAGGGATGAGCAAGTTACAAACATTAAAATGGATTTTTTTTTGTCTTGTCAGGAGCGACTTGAGAAACTGCAAGTTGCTTCTGGTGTGAGAGAATTGTCCGTCTGCAAGGACGTTGCCCAGGGGACGCCCGGATGAATTGATGTTTTTATCATCCTTGTGGGAGGCTTCCCTCATGTCCCCGAATGAGGAGCTGGAGCTGATAGAGGGAGCTCATCCGCCTCTCCCCGGATTCGAACCAGCGGCCTGTCAGTCTTCAGTCCTGCCGGCACAGGGGTTTACTAGGTAATTTTCAACGGTAAGCAAACAGTATTTTGGCGCCCCCCCCCAACCAATCATTGATATATATTTTCTTTGTCGTGGGAGTTCTGTGTGCCATATTTGGTTCAATTCCATCATTGGTGGAGTTCAGAATGCTCTTTGATTGTAGGTGAACTATACATCCCAGTAACTACACTTGCCGCACTTGCTCCCTTGCCTGGCCCGCTTTGGGTCTGGAGGCATGCCTGAAGACCCCGGCATGTGCACCAAAAGTCACCTCTTCTCCTGACTTTCTCCTCAGCCATTGGGACCGAGAGAGAGAGAGAGGTGGAGATGCCCACCTTTCCTGAAGGTAGGCGCAAAAACAAAGGAGGGAGCGGAGGTGGGAGATACCTCCAGCCGGGGGCTCTCTCTCTCTCTCTCTCTCTTGGTCCCAATGGCTGAAGAGAAAGTCAGGAGAAGAGGCGACTTTTGGTGCACACGCTGGGGTCTTCAGACATGCCTCCGGACCCGAAGCGGGCCAGGCGCGGCGGCTCCGCCCCTTGGCCCACCCGCGGATTGGGGAGAGGAGAGGAGGCGGGTGGAGCGCCGGGGGATCGGGAAAGGGAGCCGGTCATGGGGAAGGGATCGAACGCGGAGAACGATTGAGCACCGGCTCTGCTCACGCACCCGGTGGCCGGGTGGAGCAGGAACGAGAGGGGCTAGGCGAGGCTCAAGGGCCCGGCCCCTTTGGGAAGAGGATCGCCCGGCAGCGAGGCAAGAAAGCCGAGGCTCCCCCCCGGACTGCTAGGGCTGTTGTGAGCTGAGGGGGCGCTCCTCAAGTGGCGGTCGAGGGGCATTTACAGAGGCGCCTCTGCGCCCCTGGCAAAAAAAAGTGTTCTGCGACTGCTTACTTTGCGTAATGGACGAGCCGCCCCTGCTGCCGGCACAGGGGTTTAACCCACTGCGCCACCGAGGGCTCCACTGAAATAAAGCAATTTAGACTGACCGTGGATGGCGAGATCCAAGCCACAGATGATGAAATCCGAAACGCGGATACCGAGTCCTAATAAGTGGATATCGGCACCAGCAATGGGCCATCCATGGATCTGTGCACTTGGCGAGATGAAGAAGCTACAACCCAATAATTTCCCAATGAATAATCTCACCAAGTTGAAGAAGCTACTGAGGTATTTTATTCAATTCAGTTGAAGTGATGCCAGTTCATGGTAGTCCACCAAAGGAAGCGGAGATACCATACATTGCAAAATAGACATTTTTATACAATCCATTCAAATTCTCGCTGCTACCCCAGCTGGAACCAGCTTCACCATGATTGGCTAGGCTCTGTTGACGTCACGAGGATTCCCTGCAGAGGCGGGACTGTGGCATTCGTCAGCCAATGGGAGAGTGTTCCCCACTCCCAATGCAGATTCCCACTCTCCAATGGCTGATGAGGGGCAGGACGGTAACTTCTGACAAAGGACCACCGAACTCTAAGGAAACTTTGGCAGAAAGACCAAAGAGGGGAAGGAATTGCCCATCAATGATTAGCTCTCCTGGAGCAATATGGCTGTGTGGCATCAGGCTGACAGTCCAAATGGACCAAATCCAAGATTCAAACCTTTACACCATGTGGCCCCATGAAAACTTTGCCAAAATCTTTAAAAGGAAGTGCAAAAAATTCACTGAACTTTCGAAAACAAACACAAAACATAAGAACTTGGACCTGAAAAGGAAAGAAACAGTGTGGATACTGTTGGAGCATTCAAGGAATCAGTGAGCATGTGTGTGTCAACTGTAAAATAAGATGCATGAAGCTGATTGGTTGGACTACGCCCGGGGAGAAGGCTGAGCCTGGGACTTTTGGATACTGTTACATTTTTGTGCAGGTGCTTGGAGCAGTAGAGAGTGAAGGAGAGAGGAGCATGCATGAAGCTGATTGGTTGGGCTATGCCCGGGGAGAAGGCTGAGCCTGGGACTTTTGGATACTGTTACATTTTTGTTCAAGCTTGAGCTATGCAGGTGCTTGGACCAGTAGAGAGTGAAGGAGAGAGAAGCATGCATGAAGCTGATTGCTTGGGCTACGCCCGGGGCGAAGGCTGAGCCTGGAACTTTGGGATACTGTTACATTTTTGTTCAGGCTAGAGCTATGCAGGTGCTTGGAGCAGTAGAGAGTGAAGGAGAGAGAAGCATGCATGAAGCTGATTGGTTGGGTTATGCCTAGGAAGAAGGGAGAAGGGGGTGCTGGTGCTTTGCTTCTACAGTGTTGCTAAAGTTCTGGTGGTGAAAATTTCAGAACTCTTAACAAAACTTTCAAAATGTCATTATTATTTCATTATTGGTGATCTTTATGACAGAACCTATTAGGAACTGCCTATTAGGACAGAACCTATTAGGAACTGCCATTTATAATGAAATTTTGAAAGTTGTGTTAGAGTTCTGAAAGTTTCACCACCAGAACTTTAGCAACACTGTAGAAGCAAAGCACCAGCATCCCCTAGTTTTCACCACCAGAACTTTAGTTTTGTAAGTACTTTAGAACTATTTAGAACCATGGCACATGCCTACTCTAAACCTTCATCCAAACCATGAATGAGGATGTGGAATAACACTGGGCCTAGGACAGAAGGAAGAGGTTGCCTTGAATCTAGCAGAGCAGACTGTCTTACAGGAGAAATACACATCGGATCTGTCTGAGGAGGAGGTCACACCCCAAACACAGGAGTAGTTATGTTACGTTGCATTAGGCGATCCTCGTAGCCTGAAGATGATGGTCTCCACATGTAGTGTTTTGGCGATGGGTCCATAGGTGTCTGTGGAGCCCTATTCTTGATCCACATCTTCTCCCACAGTGAGGACATTGGTTTCCAGGTGGAAGGCAGGACTTCTGGTCTACTTCAGTTTTAGATATAGTGTAGACCAGGCATCCACAAACTGTGGCCCTCCATATTTCCCTATGCATCCCACCCACATCAGCATTCTATGAGTTGAGTTAGGCGATCCCTCGTAGCTCAAGGATGATGGTCCTCCAAGTATTGTGTCTTGGCGGTAGGTCTGCTGCTGGCTGTGGAGCCCTATTCTTGATCTGCATGTTTTCCCGCAGTAAGGACATTGGTTTCGAGGAGGAAGGCAGTCCAGGTCAAAGTTGGCTTGACGCGCCTTCCTCTTGGCACATTTCTCCCTTTTGCCCTCCATTCGTGCCTCTTCGAATTCTGCAGCACTGCTGGTCACAGCTGACCTCCAGTTAGCACATTCAATGGCCAGGGCTTCCCAGGAGTAGACCCTTGGAGGAATATTACACACAGAAGGTGAAGGGCCAGGAATAACTCTGTAAGTTTGTAGTTACAGAATCAACTTGAAGGTCTCTCCAGCCTCAGAACAAGGAGAGGTACAACAGAGGTTGTCGTCAGGAAATGTGCAGGTCCCCATGGAAGACTCAGCACATGGAACAGCCTCTGCCGAATCTCCAAGAAGGTATGTGTAAGATTTCTGTTTTGTATGACTTTCCTGGTATTTATAGGGCTTCTCTCCTCTGTGATTCATTTCGTGCCCGATGAGACTTCTCTTTTGACTAAAACCTTTCCCACACTCCAGGCATTTATATGGTTTCCCTCCCGTGTGGGTTTTTTTGTGCCTGCTAAGGTCTCCGTTACGATGAAAGCTTTTCCCGCAGTCAAGACATGTGTATGGTTTCTCTTCTGTATGTCTATCCCGGTGGTTTTTAAGGACGGATTTGAAGCTAAAACCCTTCCCACACTCCAGGCACTGATAGGGCTTCTCTCCTCTGTGATTCATTTCGTGACCTACGAGACTCGTCTTGTCAATAAAAGCTTTTCCACACACCTGGCATTTGTACGGTTTCTCTCCTGTGTGAGTTTTTTGGTGCCTAATGAGGGTTCCATTATGATTGAAGCTTTTCCCACAATACAGGCATATGTATGGTTTCTCTTCTGTATGACTCTTCTGGTGACGATTGAGGTGTGATTCGCAGCCGAAACCCTTACCACACTCCAGGCATTGATACGACTCCCCTCCTCCGTGAGTCATTCCATGTTGTACGAGACTTCTCTTTCTAGTAAAGCCTTTCCCACACTCCAGGCATTTATATGGTTTCTCTCCGATGTGGGTTTTTTTGTGTCTACTAAGGTCTCCATTATGATGGAAGCTTTTCCCACAATCCAGGCATGTGTATGGTTTCCCTCCTGCATGCCTATCCAGATGGTTTTTGAGGACTGATTTAAAGCTATAGCTCTTCCCACACTCCAGGCATTGATAGGGTTTCTCTCCTCTGTGGTTCATTTCGTGACCTACGAGACTCGTCTTGTCAATAAAAGCTTTTCCACACACCTGGCATTTATGTGGTTTCTCTCCCGTGTGGGTTTTCTGGTGCCTAGTGAGCGTTCCATTACGATGGAAGCTTTTCCCACAGTCAAAACACTTGAAAGGTTTCTCTTCTGTATGCCTATCCTGGTGATTTTTAAGGACTGGTTCGAGATTCTCCTCACACTGAAGATATGTGTAGGATTTCTCTTCCATATGACTATTCTGGTGACTCTTGAGGCGTGATTTGTAACTGAAGACCTTCCCACACTCCAGGCATTGATAGGGTTTCTCTCCTCTGTGAATCACTCCATGCCGTATGAGGCTTCTCTTTTCGGTAAAGCATTTCCCACACTCCAGGCATTTATATGGCTTCTGTCCCGTGTGGATTTTCTGGTGTCTGCTGAGGTCTCCATTACGATGAAAGCTTTTCCCACAATCCAGACATTTATATGGTTTCTCTTCTTTATGCCTCTCCTGGTGGTTTTTAAGGACTGATTTGTAGCTGAAACTCTTCCCACACTCCAAGCATTGATAGGGTTTCTCTCCTCTGTGATTCATTTCATGCCCTACGAGGCTTGTCTTGTAAACAAAGGCTTTTCCACACTCCAGGCATTTATATGGTTTCACTCCCGTGTGGGTTTTGTGGTGCCTACTGAGGGCTCTGTTTTGATGGAAGCTTTTCCCACACTCCAGGTGTGTATATGGATAGTGATGATGATTGTACTTGTCATGTTTACTAAATTTAAATGTTTCTTCTGATAGATGGCTTTTTGGTTGTGCTTGCTCTATGTGTTTTGTGATATAATCACAGTTGGCAGGGTGCTGGCTCCGTCTATCTTCCTCTGCTTCCGTTATTATGCTCTCCTCTACACATCTGTCTGTTTGCAGCCCATCTCCACCTTGAAAGAAAAACACAAAGAATAAGAAGAAGCGAGAAAAGGGAGCATGGCATCAGTCCACAGGCAGAAATGTCAAGAGAGAGAATGAGAAAGTGTTGGAAATTACAACCTCCTTCAAGTCTCCTCAAGTAATTTGTTTAGCTATAATCCTATTGTTTACTTATTGTATGTATGTTCTAGTATGCAGCTTTCTTTCCTTGCTCTTATTTTTTCCTGAGAAGTTGTGGGATGTGGTCTTTCAGAAGTTGTTGGGTGACAACTACCACCATAGCAGAATCCACAGTGGGGAATGATGAGACTTGCAATCCAAAAATATTTGAGAGCAATACTCAACACTAAGCCTTGCTCACCTTAGTGGATGATCTACGCCAGGAGCTGGACAGAGGGAGTGTGTCCCTGTTGGTTCTGCTGGACCTCTGAGTGGCCTTCGATACCGTCGACCACGGTATCCTTCTGGGACGCCTCTCTGGAATGGGCCTTGGAGGTACTGTTTTACAGTGGCTCCGGTCCTTTCTGGAGGGTTGCACCCAGAAGGTGTTATTGGGAGACACCTGTTCAACCCCACAACCATTGTCTTGTGGGGTTCCTCAGGGATCAATACTGTCTCCCATGTTGTTTAATATCTACATGAAGCTGCTGGGGCAGCTCATCCGGAGTTTTGGGGTGCGGTGTCACCTGTACGCAGATGACGTCCAACTCTGTCACTCCTTCCCACCTGTTACTAAGGAGCCTGTCCAGGTCCTGAACYGGTGCTTGGCCGCTGTGATGGACTGGATGAGGGCAAACAAATTGAAATTGAATCCAGACAAGACAGAGGTCCTCCTGGTCAGTCGTAAGGCCGAACAGGGTATAGGGTTACAGCCTGTGCTGGACGGGGTTACATTCCCTCTGAAGGTGCAGGTTCACAGCCTGGGTGTGATCCTGCACTCATCGCTGAGCCTGGAACCCMAGGTTTTGGCGGTGACCAGGGAAGMATTTGCACAGTTAAATCTCATGCGCCAGCTGCACCCGTACCTTGGGAAGTCTGACTTGGCCACAGTATTCCACATTCTGGTTACATCCCATATAGACTACTGCAACACGCTCTACMTGGGGTTRCCTTTGAAGACTGTCCGGAAGCTTCAAATAGTCCAATGGGTGGCAGCCGGGTTACTAACAGGAGCGGCACTCAAGGAGCACACAACTCCTCWGTTGCGCCAGCTCCACTGGCTGCCAGTTTGCTACCGGGCACAATTCAAAGTGCTGGCTCTAGCCTATAAAGCCCTAAACGGTTCTGGCCCAATTTACCTGTCTGAATGTAYCTCCTCCTATGAAYCAGGTAGGATGTTAAGATCATCTGGGGAGGCTCTAGTCCCGATCCTGCTTACGTAAAAAATACGTTTGGCGGGGACAAGAGACAGGGCCTTCTCAGTGGTGGCCCCATAGCTATGGAATGCTCTTCCCAGAGATATTAGATCAGCCCCTTCTCTATTAGCATTTCTTAGGAAGGTTAAGATCTGGTTATTCGAGCAGGCATTCAAAAAGGCAGTGTAGCAAATATTGGAACATGAAACGACTGGATGACAAGATTGAATCTTGATTTTAACTAAGAGACACCATGAGTTATGTAGTATTGAATTGCTTTAAGTGTCACTTTGAAGCCCAGAGGAGAATCGTTTCTTACCACTCTGATCAGAAACCAGAAGTGACTCACACAGGTGAGTCATGACCATGAACTTATACAGTGACACTGTAGGAACGGGTGGAAATTCCTAAACTGATTTTTATGATCAAGGGGCAGAGGGAGCCTTACCGAAAGAAACCACCATCTGATAATTCTGATCCATGACCTCCTTGTACAAGACTTGGTGATCCGGATTCAGCAGAGCCCACTCAGCATCACTGAAAGTCACAGCCACATCTTCGAAAGTCACCTGAAAGAAGAGAGTTTGAGCACAAAAAAGGATAACGCTTCTTCTTCTGCGGAGCGAATCCAATGTAATCCAATATAAATGCAAGCCAGCTCAATGAAAGTTTGGACATATGATTTAAAGACAGATGGGCCTTCTGGAGGTGTATTCCCAGCCTTCCTAAGCACAACTGTAAATATGCTTGAAGTGGAGAGCACTGTATAGTTCTTGGTGAATACATATTGTTGATGTTATTGTTATTTATATCCAGCCTTATCCCAATTTGAGACAGGTCACAGGTCACAGTAGATTAAACAACACTGTATTCACAAAATACATAAGTTAAAAAAATTAATGAATCTATCAATAAAATAAAACTAGGTAAAACTATAAACATGCAACAGAATGAAGCAGAGAGTGTTTATGAACCAGGACATCAAGGAGACCAAGGTGTTTGTTTATAAAGCTATTGTCCTCCAAACCCTGCGAAACGTGGACTGTCTACAGACGTCACGTGCAACTCCTGGAATGATCAGCACTGCCTCCGAAAAATCCTGCAAATCTCTTGGGAAGACAAGCGGACAAATGTCAGCGTGCTGGAAGAAGCAAAGACCACCAGCACTGAAGCGATGGTCCTCCACTATCAACTCCGCTGGACCGGCCACATTGTCCGCATGCCCAACCACCGTCTCCCAAAGCAGTTGCTCTACTCCGAACTCAAGAACGGAAAATGTAATGTTGGTGGGAAGGAAAAGAGATTTAAAGATGGACTAAAAGCAACCTTAAAAACTCTGGCATAGACACAGAGAACTGGGAAGCCCTGGTCCTCGACTACTCTAGCTGGAGGTCAGCTGTGACCAGCAGTGCTGTAGAATTTAAAGAGGCACGAATGGAGGGTGAAAGGTAGAAACGTGCCAAGAGGAAGGCACATCAAATCAACCCTGACCAGGACCGCCTTCCACCTGGAAACCAATGCTCTCACTGCGGGAGAAGATGCAGATCAAGAATAGGGCTTCACAGTCACCTACTGACCCACCGCCAGTACACCGATTTTGGCTTTCATGGCCAGAATCACTGGGTTGTTGTGAATTTTCTGGGCTGTCTGGCCATGTTCCAGAAGCATTCTCTCCTGACGTTTCACCTGCATCTATGGCAGGCACCCTCGGAGGTTGTGAGGTCTGTTGGAAACTAGGAAAATGGGGTTTATATATCTGTGGAATACCCAAGAAAGTTTCACACTGCTTTATCTGCTATTCTGAGACCACTTATTAAGCATAAAACAACAACAACACCCCAAGCTTTTGGGCCATGGACACGTTCACTATTATGTCTAGTTCAATTCCATTTCCATCTTTTTACCTGATCTTGTTCCACAGAAGCTATTTCTCCTGCACCACAAAGAGATGAACTATTGCTTCTTCCCAGCATCCTTGGCTCATCTCCTGTAAAATGGTAAAGAAGGGAATGGGAATTTAATTTCTTTTTTTTTAAAAGTTCCTTTTCAAGTCCTCAGGAGGTTTGCAATCCAAACAACACAAACAGATCGTTGCAGTCATTGCATAATCTAGAGTGAGGGGCACAGAACCCCTGCAAAGTAGAAACACTCCATTCATTCTAATCTGGGAGAACGTTTCTCTTTGTTGTTGTTGTTCATTCGTTCAGTCGTCTCCGACTCTTCGTGACCTCATGGACCAGCCCACGCCAGAGCTCCCTGTTTCTCTAGATGTCTCTAAATCTTCCGGCACAATATATGTAAAATCCCACTGGAGGACCTACAGAGAACTGTTCTCAATAGGAATCTCTAGGTCCTCCACTATGAATGTATCATCCTGGAGGACCTGAAGACCCCTAAAGATAACTTAGAAGTTTTGCTTCTAATCAATTTTGCAAAAAGTGAAATTTGAAATTGTGGTAGGCTGATTACCTCTGGGCACCGCATTTGAAGGGAGATGTTGACTTTAAGCTGGAATGTACCCAGAGGAGGGTGACTAAAATGATCAAGGGTCTGGAGAACAAGCCCTGTGAGGAGCGGCTTAAAGAGATGGGCATTTTTAGCCTGAAGAAGAGAAGGCTGAGAGGAGGCATGATGAGGGCCATGGATCAAGATGTGAGGGGAAGTTCTAGGGAGGAGGGAGCAAGCTTCCTTTCTGCTTCCCTGGAGACTACGACACAATGGAACAATGGCTTCAAACTACAGGAAAGGAGATTCCACCTGAACATTAGGAAGAACTTCAGTAGAACTCTCTCCCTGCTCCGGAGGCTCCTTCTTTGGAGGCTTTTAAGGAGAGGCTGGATGGCCATCTGTCAGGGGTGCTTTGAATGCAATTTTCCTGATTCTTAGCAGAATGGGGTTGGACTGGATGGCCCATGAGGTCTCTTCCAACTCTAAGATTCTATGATTTTATGATTCTACAATGTATACTGCATGTTCCTAAAAATGTTCTCAAAGCAGCAATGGAAAGTAGTATTTGTGGGGACATAACAGTAGACCCTACATTTGATGGACCCTTGAGAGCAAGAGAACAAACAAAAGGCCTCTCACCTGGTGGAGCAGCCCTTGTGTCCTCCTTCTCCTCCTTCAGCTTGCTCCACCTGGAAGAGAAGCCCTGGCTGGTGCCTGCTGGGGCCTCCTGGGCCTGAAGGACCTCTCTCTCCTGTCGCTCTTCCTGCAGCGCCTTCTCCTCTTGGGCCCGACTCAGGAGGAAGCCTTCCGCCAAGGCCACGGCCTGGGAGCTGGTCTCTGCCCCACATTCCCTCACCCAGCGCTCCATCTCGGCAGGAAGGACGGCCAGGAATCGCTCCAGGATCACCATGTCCAGCATCTCCGCCTTGGAGTGTCGCTCAGGATTCAGCCACAGGCGGCAGAGAGAGTGGAGGCGGCTGCACACCTCTCGGGGCCCCAAGGCCTCCTCATAGCGGAAATGTCGGAAGTGTTGGCCCCGAAAATCTGCGCTGAAGGCCATCTCACCCAGGACATCTTGGCCCATTCTGCTTGGTAACCCAACCCTTCTCCTGCCCCACATCTCATGGGGTTCTTTTCCCCCTTCAGGGCTGCTCTGGTTTAGCTCCTCCATCTTCACTCTGGGCTCCATCAGGACTGAAGAAGCTCTTCCCTTCTCCATCTGAAGCAAAGTCTAGGCAAGACAAAAGCGAGATGAAGTCCAGGTTAATTAATTACCATTCTCAAGGGAAAAGGGGACATTTAAATTCACTTTTTGCATGGGTTCTGCATGTCTTTCCTGTAGGAAAAACAAAGTCTTGGCTGGTTTAATGTACATTTTGGGAAGCACCACTCTGCGAGTTGAGAAGGAGGTAACAATCCTGTCTTAAATCTATATATATAATATGTATGCATATGTGTATATGAGTATCTCCCCTTTTTGGGCAAAGTCATGGAACGTGTGGTGGCCTCACAACTCCAGGCATTCTTGGTAGACACGGATTATCTGGATCCGGCACAGTCTGGCTTTAGGCCGGGGCATGGTACCAAGACAGCCTTGGTCGCCTTAGTGGATGATCTGCGCCGGAGCTCGACAGGGGGAGTGTCCCTGTTGGTGCTGCTGGACCTCTCAGCGGCCTTCGATACCGTCGACCACGGTATCCTTCTGGGACGCCTCGCGGGGATGGGTCTTGGAGGTACTGTTTTGCAGTGGCTCCGCTCATTCCTCGAGGGTCGGTCTCAGATGGTGTTACTGGGAGACTCCTGTTCAACCCCACAACCTTTGTCTTGTGGGGTTCCTCAGGT